TCAGTTTCAGGCTGAAAAGGCTCAGGCCTTTTTTAGGCTGAAACGATGCAGGGCCTGTGGGCCCCGGATGTCAGGCTTTTGAGCTGAACCGTCATAGGGTCTGCAAGCCCGGTAATAGCCCTCAGTTTAGGCTGAAAAGGCTCGGGCCTTTTTTTGGCTAAAACGATGCAGGTCCTGTGGGCCCCGGATGTCCGGCTTTTGGGMTGAACCGTCCTGGGGTCTGCAGGCCCTTATTTCCAGGCCTTGAGCCTGAAATTCAGGCTTCCAGCMTGAACGACGCAGGGCCTGGAAAATGGCCCTYGTGTGCAGGCGCAGCATGTAACACCCCCCCCTCCTTATGAAGTCAAGCCGGGTCGGGGGCGCAGCCGACGATCTGAAGGTGGAACCTGGACGCGGTTGCGGAGTGGAGCCGAAGATGCCGGCTTGCCTTGCATCTTTCGTTCATACCGTACGAGAACATTTGGAGCTGTCGCTTGGAGTTCCGCACGGGTCAACCAGCGGTCGGCTCGGTGGGTGCAATACACAAAGTGTACCAGATACTCGGTCGGGTTGTTGCCGTAGCGTCGCTGGGAAATGATGTCCTCCTGAAAGCCGTCCATAGAGGGTGGGTCTTGAGATCGTCGCCCGGGAAAGTCATCCTGGTCTGCTGGTGTGTACAGCGCCAACTTGGAGCAATGGAAAACCGGGTAGACGGGCAAGTGGGCGGGCACCTGAACTGTGAAGGACGGTCCCTCAGGTGCATCCCCAACAGGTGCTACAATCGGCCATGGGCCCATCCATTTCGGGAGGAGCTTGCGAGAGATATCCTGCTCAAGGCTGAATTCCGTGGCGGAAACCCACACGAGGTCGCCGGCGCGAAATGGACAAGGAAGACGCTGGCGATTGGCCTGCTGGCTCATGCGTTGCTGTGTCTTTGCCATCTGATTGCGTGTCTTGGCAAGAAGCTCTTGCATCCGGCGCAAGAAAATGAGATGGTCGTCGCTCTCGGCCGTGCGTGGAACGATGGTGTCCAGCGGAGAAGTGACCGGAGAGCCATGCTCAAACTCGAAAGGCGACATCCCGATAGTCGGGTGGATGGACGAATTGTAGGCCAATTCGACATCCGGCAGCCGCTCAACCCAATCCTTCTGATCGGGACGGATGAGAGTGCGAAGAAGAACCTGTGCCGTCTGGTGCGCCCTTTCCGTCTAGCCATCCGTCTCAGGGTGGCGAGCTGAACTAGGCTTGAGAGATGAGCCCCATCGTTTGGTGAGTGCCAACCAAAAATCAGACATGAACCGAGTGTCGCGGTCGCAGACGATTTCCTTGGGGTAACCCTTGGTTCGAATCCAACCGGCGTAGAGAACCTCGGCCAATTCTGGTGCCTTGGCATGATAGCGACAAGGCAAAAACATGGCAAACTTGGTGAGTCGATCGACTACCGTGAGAATCCCATCCACACCGGTCTTGTGCTTGGGGAATGGTCCAGTGATATCCATGGCAATCGCGTCCCGTCGGCACAAGGGAACCGGTAGTGGTCGCAACTCGCCTGCGGCATTTGCAACGCCGGCAAATCTCGCATGACTCGCAGTAGCGTGTGACGTCGTCGAGAAGACTGGGCCACCAAAATCGCTCGCGAAGTCGGCCAATCGTTCGATTGACGCCAAAATGTCCGGTGGCGGGAGCATCGTGGAACTCGCCAAGAAGCCGTGTACGCAAGTAAGGGTCACTCGGTACGCAAAGAAGATCCTTCCCCCGCGAGTGGACGAGCAAATATCCCCCCTGGATCCGGTAGTGAGAAGGTGCCGGATTGGGTGAGGAACAATTCGCGTACTTGTCGCGAAACTCGGGGTCGGCCTGGTAGCCGCGGATGAAACTGTCTCGCAAGTCGTCCTCAATCTCGAACGTCGAGTAGACCGCGGTGCAATGGTCTGGACGCCGTGAGAGAGCATCCGCAAAACGGTTCGACTTGCCCGGAATGTGATCGGGGAAAAAGTCAAACTGGTCAATGAAGGCCATCCAGCGGGCAATGGTGTTGTTGACTGTGTCCTGGGTCTTGTAAAAGACCAACGGGTTGTTGTCCGTTACCCATCGGAACTGCCGTCGACCAAGAAGGAAATGCCGCCAGCGCTTGAGTGCGTGTACGAATGCCAATAACTCCTTCTTTCGTGCATCATCAATAGAGTGCACGGCGGGCACTTTCTTGCTGAAATACTCGACCGGGTGCCAGTCCACGCCATCGTGTTGTTCGAGGACTGCACCAATGTCATAGCCGGATGCATCAGTAGTGACGCGTGTGGGCAATAGCGGGTCGTAGATCCGCAAGACCTCCGCTGACAAAAGTGCAGCTTTAAGAGCCAAGAAGGATTCCCGCGCATCCTCGTCGAAGTCAAACGGCCGATCCTCGCATTGAAGCTTGGTCAAATGGGCCGCGATCTTCGAATAGCCCTTGATGAAGCGCTGATGGTAGCCGGCAAGACCAAGAAACGAACGGACATCCGTGACGTYACGCGGCTCSRGCCACTCYTGGATGGCTTGAATTTTCTCCGATAGGGGGCTGATGCCCTCCGGTGTGACAAAATGGCCCAAGTACTCAAGCTCTTGCCGGACGAACTCACACTTGTCGCGGTTGGCTTTGTACTTGGCACGGCGGAGCGTCTCCAACACTTGTCGAAGATGCTCAAGATGATCCTCCAAGGTCCGACTATAGACGAGAATGTCATCTAAGTAGACCAGCACAAACCGATCCAGCATCGCACGAAACTCATTGGTCATTGCTGCTTGGAAGGTTGTCGGGGCATTGGTGAGGCCAAAAGGCATGACCACTCACTCAAAATGCCCATACCGTGTCTTGAATGCGGTTTTGTAGCAATCATTCGGGCGTATCGAAATTTGATGATACCCCGACTTCAAGTCCAACTTGGAAAATAACTTAGCACCGCCCAATCGCTCAAGAAGGTCGTCGATACGAGGAAGAGGCCCCGCATTCTTCACAGTTTGCGCGTTGAGCTTGCGGTAGTCGATGCACAGACGTAGATCCTTGTTCTTCTTCCTTATGAAGAGAACCGGTGCTCCATATGGGGAGCTGCTAGGGCGGATCCAGCCCTTGGCCAACAAGTCGTCGAGTTGTGCGCGAAGGACCTCCAGTTCCTCCTCGCTCATCCGATAGATGCAACCTTTCGGCGGCACGGCACCGGCCTCAAGAATGATCTCGTGAGAGATCGGCCGATCCGGCACCACACCRGTARGTGACTCGAAGATGTCGRCGAACTCGTCAAGCAGCCGTACCACACGGGGGYCCGAAGACAAGTCCGATGGTGAAGAGTCGGCTACCGCGACGGTCCGCAAGAAACATAGGCCTATCTCGTCGGGTTGCTCATATGCACATGTAGCCCGGAACGATTTGGCCGTCACGACTTGGCACCGGATCGAAGGGTGCGGAAGAGGAATAGTACACGGCACCTCGGCGCCGAGGGCGTCRCGAACGGTGAGAGTCCGCTGGTGAAAGTTGACCGTGTGATCYGCACTTGYGAGCCAAGGCATTCCCAGGATGATATCGAAGTCCGTGTCCAAGATGTCGAACGTGACCGGTTCGCATGCATGAGGTGCGAAGTACACCGGTACAGCCTCGATGTAACGGTCGAGAAGTTGCTGCGTCTTTCCATCCGCCAACTTGATCGCCGTCGGGTTTGCCTTCCTTCGAACCTGCGCGCCGAGGCCAGCCCTTTGCATAAAGGCTTGGCTCATGAAGTTGCGAGTCGCGCTGCTATCTAGCAAAGTGTTGCAGGACGCTTGCCCAACTTGGATGCGGACATACATCAGCGGTGCGATATTGTCGTCGTACCGCTGCGTGCAAAACTCGCAGGCCACCTTGGTAACATATGCCAAGATGTCCCCCACCGCGACCTCGTCATCCGTCGGCGAAGTTGGTGGTGCATAGAAGGACAAGTACTTGTGAAGATGGGCGCAGAGTTCACGTGCTTGTGGTCTTAGTGAATAGTTCTGTGACAATATATATATATATATACATATATATATATATATGTATCTATGTATCTATGTATCTATCTATCTATCTATCTATCTATCTATCTAACTCAGTTGACATGTATATAGATGAACATAAAGACATAGATGTATACATAAATAAATTGTGATAGCCAACGAAGAGGACTCTGTGAAGGTCAGAAAAACAGCCACAGCCGCGTAGGAGCGGGGTATCCCGGTACTGGAGCAGCCAAGCAGCCCTCCCAACAGACTCACCGTCATTGTACGCTGAGGCGATTCAGGCCGCAGGGGCCACCCGAAATGCTTTGGGGAGTGCAGGCAGGGGAGAAAAACAGGGCACAAGAGAGGCCAGTATACAACGACATGCACATGGGGCTATTCCTAAATGGCGTTTGTTCGTGGTGGCACAACCTCAAGTGACAAACAAACGTGCATGCATGTGGACGGTTCATGGACCATGTACATGAGGCCAACACACATTCATTAGCTTTCCCATAAATAAAGTGTCGGTTGGCAAGGCCGTGTTTCAACAACACCAACATTCTCCACTCTGGGGAAGCTTGGAATTGCAGACAACTTGTGGAAGACTCTGACACGTACTGGCATCCCCTCGTGATGGGGAAAGAGGAACATTTTCATTTTCGGCCTCTTTTCAACACATGGGCAATGACACAAACGTGAGTGGAAGGTGCATGAAAATCATTACCAAAAAGTTCGCACACTCATGTTCACGACCCCCAGAGGAACTGTCGCATACCGTAATGGTGCAGACTAGAACAAGAACCGACCTCTCTCTCATAGCGCAGGATAGCGCAGCGGAAGGCTAAAATGCAAATGATGAAACCAATCAATGTCGCAATACAGACCAAACATACATCATCATCATCGCAAGGTGTGAAGGGGTCTGGCACTACACACAGGAGGAATGCGCCAGACTCAGATCATACACAGATTCAGAGGAGGGGGATCAGACGAAGAAGAAGGGAAGGATGGGAACGTAGTCAACACCAAGTCTTCAATATAGATCCCAAATAATCCCCCCATCCAATGTCGCTGTCCCAATGTCGAGTCGGAATCCGAATGTCGTCTAATCTCGAAGTCACAAATCTCTATCTCTCTTTCTCGCTCGTAGTCTGTCAGATAGCGAGAAGTCCGGTAGCAAGAGGGTGAGGGAGAGATGGTGGACTGGAGGAGGAAGAACAAGAAGAACTCTCTCTCTCTCTCTCTCTCTCTCTCTCTCTCTCTCTCTCTCTCTCTCTCTCTCTCTCTCTCTCTCTCTCTCTCTCTCAGGTGGCGCCGTGTTGCAGGTACATCGAAGACGAAGTTGGAGCAATGGCGTCACAGGTAAGCTCCCAGGTAAGTCTCCCTGGCCTCCGCCACTCTCCTCCCTCTCCACGCTACTCTAAGGTGCTAGCAGCACCCAGCACTGAAGACTACTCCTATCGTACTCTACTACTACTGCAGCGCTCCCAAGAGTGTTGCTGCCGAAAGTCCGAAGACTGCCTCCTGAACTGCCTGTTCCCTTCTGGGTGGACCAGCACTATATAGCGTTGGTCCGGCTGGGAGGCTGCTCTTGCCGATGATGAATCATGCCAGACCCCGGCGCCCAAGTTCAAAAAAAGGTTGTCTTGAAACGGGCTTAAAAATGGCCTGCGCTTATCCCTGGTCTGGCGCCTAAGTTTCAGGAAAGGTTGACGGGCCTAACATTGGCCCTCCTTTTTAGGCTGAAACGACACAGGGCCTGGAGGGCTCTTACTTATCTCTTGTTCCGCCTGGTCGGGCCCCTGCAGGCCCGTGTGGTGCGCAGTATGCCACCCCCCCCCCTCCTTGAAAGACCGAGCTTACCTGTCGATGCGTGACAACACGATCGATCTCCTGATGACCATCCATGGAGGGAGGGTCCTGCGATCGTCGGCCCGGGAAGTCATCGTCCTTGGCTGGTGTGTATGTCGCCAGCTTCGAGGTGTGAAAGAGTGGATGGACCGGCAGATGCGGAGGGATATCGATCACAAAGGATGGGCCGTCGGGCTTGTCACCTGCGGCTGAAAGGACGATCGATGGTCCAAACCACTTGGGGAGTAGCTTGCGTGAAACATCCTGTTCGAGCGCAAACTCTTCTGCGGAGACTCAAACCAGATCGCCGGCGCGGATGGGACATGGCACGCGACGCCTGTTGGCTTGCTGCTGCATGCGGACTTGAGCCTTGTGCATGTTCGCACGGACTTGAGTCAGCAATTCCCTGTACTTCCGGACGAAGGCGCGAGAGCAAGCGGCATCTATGTCGGCAGTTCGTGGTAGGAGAAGATCAGCGAAGATACGGCCTTTCCGGCCACCGTGGTGAAACTCGAATGGAGTCTCGCTGATTGCCGGATGCAACGAAGTGTTGTAGGCGAACTTGATGTCGGGGTGGCGGTCAACCCAATCCTTCAGATCCGGACGGATGAGCGTACGAAGCATCATTTGAGCAGTCTAATGTGCTCTCTCTGTTTGCCCGTCCATTTGTGGGTGTCGAGCCGAACTTGGTTTCATTTCGGTGCCGGACTCATTCATGAGAGAAGTCCAAAATGCCGACATGAACCGTGTCACGGTCGCTAACGATGTCTTCCAGAACACCATGGCTGCAGATCCAGCCGGTGTGCAAGAGTCACGGGAGCTCGGGAGTCCTGGCGTAGTACTTGCAAGGAAGAAACCGCGTGAACTTACTCAAATGGTCAACGATTGTGAGGATGTCGTCGTGTGTGAAGCGATCAGGGGGAAATGGGTCGGTGACGTCCATAGCAATGGAGAGGCCGGGTTCCTGGGGAATAGGCAACGGGCGCAACTCGCCGTAAGAGTTGCGATTGCGGGGCTTGTTTCGTCGGCAAACTTCACAAGAATCGCAATATCTCGTGACGTCGGTGATGACGTCGGACCATTGGAATCGTTGTTGAAGTCATGAGATAGTCCGATTGAATCCAAAATGGTCGGCGGGTCGCGAGTCGTGGTACTCGCTGAGAAGGCGAGTCCGGAGACGACGGTTTCATGGGACACACAATAAGTCCTTGCCTCGCGAGTGGAGAAGCAAGTACCCGTCGATGATGCGATAGTGGATGGTCGGCGGGTGATTCGAGGATAGTTGCGCATAGAGTGTGGCGTAATCCGGATCAGACTCATAGCCCCGGATGAAGTTTTGTTGGAGTTCCTCGTCGAACGCGAAGGCATGATGTGTCATAGCGCAGAGATCGGGTCTTTGCGAGAGTGCATCCGCTTCGCGATTGGAGAGGTCAGCGAGATGTTTCGGTGTGAAGTCAAATTGGTCAATAAAATACGTCCATCGTCCGATAGTGCTGCTCACCGTATCTTGCGTCTTGTAGTAGGTCAACGGGTTGTTATCAGTGACCCATGTGAACCTACGACGCCCAAGGAGGAAGTGCCGCCATCGCTTGAGAGTCGTCACGAACGCGAGCAGCTCCTTCTTCCTCGCATCATCAAGTGAGTTGATAGGAGGCACCTTGTGGCTGAAGTAATCCATGGGATGCCAGTCGTCGTCGTCGTGTTGTTCCAAGACTGCCCCAATACCATAGCCAGAGGCGTCGGTTGTCATTCTCGTTGGCAAGGTGGGGTCATAAATGCTAAGGACGGGTGCCATGAGCATGACCGTCTTTAGTGCTTGGAATGACCGGCGCGCTTCATCGTCGAATACGAATGACACCTTTGGCGATTGTAATCTCGTAAATGGTGCGGCAATCCTTGAGTACCCAGTGATGAAGCGTTGGCAGTAGCCTGCCAACCCCATGAATGAGCGAACGTTCGTGGTGTTGGTGGGCTCGGGCCATACGCAAATGACCTCAATCTTGTCCGCAAGCGGACGGATGCCTTGCGGCGTCACATAATGGCCCAAGTATTCGAGCTCTTGCCGCACGAATTCACATTTGTCGCGGTTGGCTTTGTACTTGGCTTGTCGTGGCTGCTCCAAAACGGTGCGCAAGTGCTCCACATGATCATCCAAACTCCGGCTGTATACCAAATATCATCGAGGTAGATGAGTACAAATTTGTCCAGCATGTGTCGGAACTCCATCGTCATAGCCGCTTGGAATGTGGCCAGGGCATTTGTAAGGCCAAAAGGCATAACCAGCCATTCGAAATGCCCATATCGCGTCTTGAACGCGGTCTTGTAGCGGTCCTTCTGTCGGATCTCGAGTTGGTGATTTTGCGATTTGAGGTCAAGCTTGGAGAAAAATTTTGTGTCGCCCAGCCGTTCGACGAGGTCGTCGATGCGCGAAACAGGGCCGACGTTCTTGACGGTTTGCGTGTTGAGTTTGCGATAATCGATGCACAACCGCAAGTCCTTGTTCATCTTCCGGATGAAGAGAACGGGAACGTCGTATGGCGAAGAGCTAGGCCGAATCCAGCCTTTCTTAAGAAGGTCGTCGAGTTGTGCCCGTAGCACACTTAACTCTTCCTGGCTCATGCGGTAGATGCAACCACGCGGAGGTACGGCCCCGGCCTCGAGGATGATCTCCTGGTGGATTGGCCGATCCAGTACTACTCCGTGCGGGGCTTCGAAAATGTCACCATAGGCGTCTAGAAGCTTGGTGATGCGTGGGTCCGTCGATGCGTCCATCGATGGGATGCCATGGGGAGGGAGGGCGTGGAGAAAACACACACCCAACTCCTCGATGTCATCCCGGGTAATGGAAGCTCGAATGCTCGCGGCGGACACCACGTGATAGATGATCGAAGGGTGAGGTGGAGGCACCGTGCACGGGACTAATACTCTGTTCCGATCACGAATGTGAACAGTGCGGCGGTAGAAGTTCATCGGGTGATCCTCGCTTTGCAGCCACGACATGCCAAAAATCATGCCGAACTTGGTGTCCAGAATGTCAAAGGACACGGCCTCGCTTGCATGCGGGGCGAAGTACATGGGGACTGAATCAATGCACCGGTCGATTGTCTTGTGCGTGTGACCGTCGGCTAACGTGACTTGCGTGGGCTGCGACTTCCTTCGAACGCGTGGCCCCAGGCCATCGCGTACCAGAAAATCTTGGCTCATATAGTTGCGAGTAGCTCCACAATCGATCAAAGCGATGCAGGTCGCTTCTCCGATCTAAATGCGTATGTACAGCAATGGCACGTCGTTGTTGTCGTACCGTTGTGTCTTGAACTCACGGTTGGTTTCGCAAGGTAGTCACGAAGGTCAACAATCCCTACTCCGGCATCCATCAACGGAGCTGGTACTGCAGTGTGCAAGTAGTCCCGCAATTGTGCCATGAGTGCGTTGCAATGTGGTTTCGACAATCGACCGGTTGGGGAAGGGGCATTCATTGGAAGTCCGCGAAAGTCAACGGGTCGATTTTCTCAAGTCTTGACCACGACGTCGAATCCCCGATGAAAGTTGGCGGCGAAGCTGCCAAATCGGTTGCCGATGGTGATGAAATCGTGCATGCGGTGAAGTCTTGCACGTGGAGTGGCTGGTCCAACGGTGGGACCAAGTGGACAGCGTAATCCTCGTAAGTGAACCGAGGACTTGCAACATCCGAATTCACCCCAGATGTCGAGGAGGCTGCTAGCAAGGCGGCCGAATCTGGCGGAGTGAGAGGTGGAGTCGCCTCACCTCCCGCACGGCTCAGTTTCCCGAGCTGGTTCGAGGTTGAACATCCTCCTTGCCTTGATCTTGGCATTGGGAGGTCTTGTGCTTGGTGTTGTTGCACCAATAGCAACAACCACTTGTATTCGGTCTCGATCAATCTAAACTTGACCTCTGGTATTGGTTGTCCGTTTTCGGCCAGCGATGCGGTTTTCGCCTTCCCTTTTCCACGGGAGTTGTTGTTGCTTCGCGGCTGGACGGTGGCCACCTGATCTCCCTCACGTGATATTGGGGTGATTGTCGGGTCTTCCACAAGGTTGTCCGGTTGTAGTGACGGGCTGCGGACGCGGACCGAATTTTCCTTTGTCCACATGGGCTGGCTGCCATGCGGATTTCTCGTGTGCAGCAGCCCGGTTGGTCTTGATTATCTCACGAGCCTTGTCAATGATTTCGACGAAGGTCGTGTATTGTTCGCGATCACCGAGTGCGAGGCTCAAGGCGGCACACGACCGGTTGTAGAACACCCGGCGCAAATGCGAAAATGGCAAGTCGAGATCGGGTGTTGCCACAATCTTTTGCCATTCCGTGAGCCAATCACGTGTCGGTGTGTTGCCAGCAAGCAATAAAGATTTTTCACGATCCATTGGTTACCTTGAGTCATGGCGAAGAGGCGGTTGATGGCGAGCGTCGGGGCGTCGTCAACACAATGAACCGCTTCTTCCATCCCTTCGTCAGATCTTCCCAAGAGATCTTTTTGTGCAGGTCGGCGACCTGGACGCCGTGGATGGTTGCCATGTGGCTGAGCCAGATCTGGCATCCGCCCTTGGCATTGAGGAACAACGCCGAGATGTACAAGTGATCGGGGACCTGATGAATCCGAAGCTCCGTCGTAAAGCCCTGCCACCAGGTGATCGGGTCCTGATGCGTATAGTCATCAAACTTTTCGAACCGGAACGTCGACATCTTGTATTGCCGCGATGCACCGGTGCTACCATCGTTGTCGGGCGGCTGGTGTATTTGTCGAACCTCGTTCTTCAAGGTGTCGAGCTGCTCGCTGATGGAGGCTGGTGCAGCGAAGGTGCTGATGTCGCCGAGCATCGCTAGGACATGGTCGATTCGTTGCTCCAACTGACGGGTTGAGGCTGCATTGCTGGGTTCTCCATCATCTGGTCTTGGAGCTGCTTGCCCCAAGTCCTGTACACGGGTATGAAGTGCCCGTGTGGCATCCTCGTGCAGATCCTTGTGGCTCTGCACTGCCTGTCGGAGCTTCTCCAGTTCCTGGTGCTGTTTCTCTAACTCGGACTGCAGGTGGTTACAAGTGTAAACCAACCAGGTCATGAGTTTGGAGAGAAACTCCCTGTGCTGCTCTTCTGGTGTCGCGTTGTCGTGGCCCTCGGATGGTTCAAAATGCCAGAACTTGAGCCTGTCGACGCTGGCGGCTTCATGCCACTGCAGCAGATCTTGGGCCTGCCTGCGGCGGGCCTGGGCGTCTGCGTCAGCCGCGCCCTGAAGCCGCTGCCTCTCAGCCGCTGCCTCCGCTTCAGCCTGTAGGCGGGCAGCCTCGGCTGCCATCTGGCGCTGATCCTCATCCTCGATCTGTGTGAGCTGATCTTGGATCCGCTGTCGGAACTCGGCAATGGACTCGCTGGCCAGTGGCATGCCCAAAACTGAAACCATCATGGTGGCGGGGCACTGCTGATGTGTCACTGCTGCTGTTGTGGCACTGCTGACGTGGCACTGCTGACTTGGTGCTGCTATTGACGTGGCACTGCTGTCGTGGCACTGCTGACGTGGTGCTGCTGCTGACGTGGCACTTACCAAACCGGGACGCAGGCAAAGGGCTGGGTGGGAGGGAAACGCAGGAGGGTAACCAAACTGCACTTTCCATTCCCGGTCCTAGTCAACAGAACAAAATAAAAAAAATAAAAGAAAGGATCCCCCCCCCCCCCTCGATCTGCTATCAGTGAGGCATTTGCGGAGGAGTGCTATGAGTGAGATATAGGCAAGGCTTCGCAAAATTTCTCTTTCAAAAAAAATGCGATCTTGAAAATAATTTGCGCGGAATAGAATGGAGGTTCCACTTTCAGAGAAGAATAGATCCAGTTTCCGAGAATATGACAACCTCCCTAGTTCACCTAATATGCCCAGAGTGAAAAAAAAAACGAAATGCTCATATCCGACTTTCCGGAGATTTGTTGTGAAAAAAAAAATAAAGTTGCAGGGATTTGACGAAGCCCTACTTTATTAATCAATAAACAATCAATCAATCATTCAATCAATCAATCAATTGAGCTGGCTCCTTGATTGGGCAGATCCTCTGATTGAGAGGTCCGCTCCGATACCAAACTGTCGCATACCGTAATGTGAAATCACACTACGATTATTCAACTTGTCATGTATGCAAACAGTGAAACAGCAAATTGGTGACAGGCGCCCACTCAGTACTCAAGATATCGTATCCACATAAGAGTTCTCTTCAAACTGGCTATGGCGACTGAGCGCCCACACAACTCACTGTTCGCACTCTGGATCACCCTGGATGTCCCACACGCAAC